TTTTATATTGTTATTATTCTTATTACTTTGCATCACATGTGTGGTTGCTATGATGCTGCAATTAATGGTGAGGAACTGCCTTGTGCAGTCTAATATTGCAAAAAAGCTGTGAAGTCTGTTAAAAAAACAAGATAATAAAATAGCAAAGACAAATTTTTTTCTTAATAACCAGTTTTGGTTGTAATATCGTAAGGTACATAATTCTTTCTTTGTATCAATATATTAGTATTTATAGCCATTAGTGTGATGAATGGTGTGCTACTTCCATTTGTATAATAGTTTTTAAGCTGTATGTTCTGGCAATCACAACCTGAATTTGCAGTGAAATAGTGAAAGTAAAAATGTTTGCCACTTTATGAATACTGAGCTAATAAGGAAAAGAGAAATTTAAATGGTTATTAAAGCATTGGTCAAATCTATGGAATGAAAAATGGAAATTTTAGTAAACCATGGAAATGTTCTTGATTTGGTCATCAGGCATCACTTTTTTGTATTTAAGCTTTGTTTCTTGTCTATTAGTGTTCAGAAGTACTGAACCAAAGATTAGTTACATATTAAAATGCAAGAAGTAGTACCATTTCTCATATAGAAGTAAAATTACACTGATTTTACTGAAGTCATTTACCAAAGAAACATCTTAAAAACTTAAATGCTCACATATTGTACAGAGAGTGGGAAGTCTGTGGTAGTAGTATTGTCAGATGGTATGTAGGGTTGTCAGTTCTAATGTGTACACTCTGATAATGAGTTGATGTGGCTCGTGTCCTAGTTGTTGTTTGTTACTTGAGCAAGGAAAATCATTTATATTTTTGCATGGTTCATCTGAGACTACTTATTAAAGCACGGGGGGAAGTTATGAAACTTGACAGATTTACCATGACAGATACCTATGTGAAATGCTAAAGAATATCACAAGGAGTTATAAGTATAAAGGAGAAATAAAATTTTTGCTTAAGTTACATAATGAAAATTATGTAAAATTTTACTGTGGTTGGCATTATTATGAAAATTTTAAGAACAAATATTTCTATTGCAAATTTTATTTGCTATGTTTAATGAGTAGATTTTGCAACAATTTTAAACATGAAAAATTAATGATACCTACATAATTTAGATAAAGATTAATTTCAGTACCTGTAAACTTTCTAGGAAACCAACAAGAAACAATAACCATGTCCACTGTATGATTATGAAGATTCAACACATTAAAAAAGGAAAAAAAAAAGTGCATTATGGAATTTTTTAACTCCATATCATGCATGTGCATCAAATAATGTTCTGCCATTTTTTTCTAATTTACTGATTGAGGAAAACATAAAGCAACTTTTTATATAAGTATACATGTTCTGCCAATTTCTTTTTTTTTTCATTTGTCTGCTAATTCCAATTTCATCCTCCAGGTGAACACACTGCCAGAGTATACACAAAAGAGGTTTGGGGGTCGACGTATCCAAGTCTACCTCGCTGTTCTCTCCCTTGTCCTCTACATATTTACCAAGATATCTGTAAGTACCTTCTTAGATCATGAGGCGTCTTATAGGCATTGGTTCCAGAGATCGTTTTACTGGAGGGCATTATATGATTTTGTGGGGAAGGGGGTTTGCTGGCCTCCGATTTGAGTGGAGGTTTCCAAAATTTAATGCTCCCATTTAATACTTCAGAAGAACCCCAAAGAGAAAAAAGTCCTTTTTACTGAGCAGATACCTAAGCAGATATATTGGATTGCTTTAGTGTGTGAAGTAAAGGTTCACAGTAAAATTCTGGATATTTGTGCCATTTTTTTGTTATTTCAACCTTTGTCACAAGGACTTGTAACCTTTCATTTCATATTGGCAAAGTAGATGAAATATTGAGATGAGTATGAAGTGCTGAGGTTCTTCCGACATATATACAGCTTTGGTTGTTCTAATGCTAGGACCTCAACAAATTGCAAAGTAACAAGCTTTTTTTTTGTTCAGTGTCTTAGTCGGTTAAGACCCTCTAGTACTGATCTAGAGCTTAAGAGTCCTAGCCTCTCAGGTGCCATAGGGATTATGACCCAACTATTCCTAATAATGAATAATAATAAGTAGACTATATTTTTAAAAATAAATTATGCATGTCATTAAGTTCTGCAATACCCTGTCTTTTAGTCTTCAGTAAACCAGTGGTTTCAAAAGCAGAAGAGAGTCAGTGATAATTTTTAGATGGGTTGGGAATGTTACAAGGGTTAGACCAGCAGGGAACTTCCATAAAACACACCAGGAAGTTGTTGACCTTGCTGTGGTAAGAGCCAGGTCCATGAGCATATCCAGGTCCAGAGATAAATACATAAATGGAGGGAGGATAACTCCTTGCTTGTTGATGCAATGAACCATTGATATGTTGTTTGGAAGTATGTACATCATCCTTTCTTGAAAGAAAAGTTCCCTGACGAGGAAAAGCAAGTCCACATGTAGCTTTCAGACATTGACGTGAGCCTAAAAGGACAGAGAAGTATTATGACTTCAATTCATGATGGCGCCCACCAAGGACTGGTACTCCCAATCCCAGTCTGATGCGTCGGCGCAAGGGTCAGGATGGGAAGATCAGCGAGACGAGGACCTCTCAGCCATCAGTAAAAATTTCTCAAGAAGGACGAGATTGTCAAGTTGAAGTGAGGCCGGTGGATGAAACAGTCCATCCCTTTGTGGCCCACCCCATGGTTGGAAAAAGAG